TCACATTACAGAGTTTGGCAAGTTAAAAATGTGCCACTCCACAAACAGGAGAAGGCACTAGGCATGTTATAAGTCACTGTTTAAGATGTTTTGCTTACATGGGAGTGCCAAAAGCTATAAAAACAGATAATGGGTCTGGATATACTAGCAAAGTTTTCCAACAATTTTGTGCTTAATTCCCGAGACCGGTGCTACCGGAACAGCCCGTGTGGCCTAGTCCCGCCCAGCACGCGTGGACCTGCCTGCCGAGCCTTTGGGCCCAGCATGCTGCTGACTTGAGGGGAGTAAAGCGCCTGCCTCCGTGCTTTTATAGCAGGTGAGACATGAGGCGAGCCCGCAGCTCGGGCAGCGGCGGCTCCTGAGCCGACAGGACGCACAGGCCAGGCAGTGGTGGCGTACGCCTTTAATCCCAGCACTTGACAATTGCACAGATGGACTCTGGTCCCCTCTTTTGCTCGCTTGGTCTCCTTCTCTTCTCTCGCCCATGACTCTTTCAGGCAGCCCCGCCTTCGGAACCCTGAATGACTGACCCGTGGGACGAGTCAATGAGCCATCTCTCCAGGCCCCACATATCTTAAATACTGTTACAAATGATCTTGAGCTCCTGATCCTCTCATTGCTACTCTCAAGTGCTGAGATTTCAGGTCAGTATTACCACACCCAGTGTCTCCTCTGTTTTTCATTTTTGTCTCTCTCTTTTGTGGGGGAAGGGAGGTTGAGACAGGGTTTCTCTGTGTAGCCCTGTGATGGGGGTTGTCCTTCTGTATGTTTCTCTTATTGGTTAATGAATAAAACACTGTTTGGCCAATGAGGCAGGAAGATAGGCGGGACTAGGAGAAGAGGAGAATTCTGGGAAAGGTAGGCAGAGAGAGTTGCCATGTAGCAGTCAAAGGAGTTGCAGGTACAGCATTTCCAGTAAGCCAAGACCTCATGTAAATACATAGATTAGTAGTTATGGGTTAATAGTTAAGACAGAGCTAGCCAATAAGAAGTCCTAGCCACCAGCAAACAGTTTCATAGTTAATATAGTGTCCAAGTGTGTTTATTTGGGGCTCAAGGGCCACGGGACCAGCTGGGACAAAGAACCTCTTGTTACAGCCCTGGCTGTCCTGGAACTTGATTTGTAGACCAGGTTGGCCTGGAAACAGAGATCTACCTGCCTCTGCTTCCCAAGTGCTGGGATTAAAGGCGTGCGGGTTAAATCAGGGTCTTTTGCTTTGTTTTTGAGACAGGGTTTCTTTGTGTAGTTGTCCTGGCACTCACTCTGTAGACCAGGCTGGCCTCGAATTCACAGGCATCTGCCTGTCTCTTCCTCCTGAGTGCTGGGAATAAAGGTGTGTGTTGACACTGCCTGGCTTTAAATCAGGCAGGGTCTTAAGAAACAGGGAGTTAGACAAGACTTCCTGGTAGGCAGATAGATAGGGAGAGGGGTCAAGGTAGGTACTAAAGGTGGTAAATTTCCAAGTGGCCTCAACCTTCTGACCTGAAACAAAAGTCTGACAGCCCTCATAAGTTTTGTATCTCACTAACAGGACCCCTGCTGATGAACTGGCTTAACAAGTTCAAGGATGAAAGAGCTAATGTAGACAGGACAGAATTTGTTGGTAGTTGAAGGGTGTGGTGATATATTGTTTATGATCTAATAAATAAAGCTTGCCTGGAGATCAGAGTGCAAAGCTAACCACACTAGCTAACCATAGATGCCAGGCAGTGGTGGCCCACACCTGTAATCCCAGCATTCAAGAGGCCAAGGCAGGTGGATCTCAGTTAGTTAGTTCAAGGCCATCCTGGGCCACATATCCAGTCTAAAAGAGAAACCGAGCTCACACAAAGATGATCCTAGCACTTGGAATGACAAGCCTTTAATCCTGGCACTAAGGAGGTGGAGACCTGGGGCTGGAGAGATGCCTCAGAGGTTAAGAACAGTGACTGCTCTTCCAGAGGTCCTGAGTTCAATTCCCAGTAACCACATGGTGGCTCACAACCATCTGTAATAGGATCTGGTGCCCTCTTCTGGGGTGCAGGGATACATGGAAGTAGAATGTTGTATACATAATAAATAAATAAAATCTAAAAAAAAAAAAGGAGGTGGAAACAGAAACAGGATATGGCTATGCAGAGAGGTGATGGAATTGTCTAGTGGGACTGGCAGTGGACAATTCCTATAGCCATGGGGAGATCATGGCTGTGATTTGGTCTGAGTTGTTTACTGATCCTCCTTTTGTTGGAAGTAGCAGCTACTCCTTCCAGAGGGAAGCTTGGGACAGGAGGACATGGAAGACATGATTATGGTCTGTGTAGACGGTTAGGGATTATCATTGTGCCAATTAAAAGGCACTGGAGAGAGCTATTAGTTGGGTCTATTGATTAGTGCTGTGGGCAGGGGGGGGGGCGGGCTTCAACCACCTCAGTATCTGACATAATGGCATAGCCTGCCTTTCAGGCCCCCTCAAGTAAAAAGGAGCTGCCGTTTGTGTACCAGGTGTAGGTGGCCTGGGGTAATGTGCCTTCCTCTGTGTGCAAGTAAAGACGCAGCAGTTCTCGGGTTTCAATACAAGAATGAGATGGAGAGTGGTCTGTTTGGTTAGGGAAGAAGATTTGAGATACTGAGGGATGGGCATGATTGGAAAGTAAGTGTGGCTTCATTTACCAGTGTCACCTGGAGAGAGAGAACCCAGAAGGGAGGTGGAGTTTGTAAGCCTTTATATAGGGGGGACAGGCTGTGGGAGAAGACAGTGGTAAGTGACCTGAAAGTTCATTGGATTCACAATAAGGAGCTCAGTCACCACTAAAACATGTATGCAGGGCGCCTGACCCTGGGTGATAAAGCTAATTTTTTTTCTTGACAAACATGCCACAGGTATGAAGGAAGGTCTCAATTGGTGGCCTAGGACCCCAAGGACATATCCCTCTTTTGTGTTAGATAGAGGGAGAAGGCACAGGTTAGGCCTGGACAGTGTAGTGCCAGGACCTGGAAGAGGGCCTGTTGGAGCTTCTGAAAGGGCTTGGTAGCAGTGTGAGAAGGGGTTCATGTTGGGGGTCCACAGCTGCTTCATGTAGGGTGCGGCATGGAGGGACAAGGAGGGAGATCCAGGAGCACCAGAAGCCAGCTCTTCCTAGGAATGCTGAAGTCTCCTGGACTGGACAAGGTGTTTTCTATCCTTTGTGGGTCGGGGGTCATGGTTAGTCCCCAGCAGGTGGCCTGAGTGGTGGGCATTTGGACCTTAGACAGGGAGACTCGATACCCCCGACTGGACAAGAAATTTGGAAGAGCAGAGGTGTCAGTTTAGCTAATCGGAGAGGCAGACTACAGAGATCATCTATATATTGTGTAGGTTTAGATCTGGAGAGAGACAAAAAGATTAGACCAGAGGCCAGAGCCGGACTAAATAGGTGTGGACTACCCAGAACTCCTGGGGTAGGACAGGCAAGGTGAGTTGAGTAGAGAGCAGGTCAGTCCAGGTGAAGGCAAAGAGATTTGTGACTGGCTGTTTAGGGGCATAGAGAAAAAGGCCTCCTTAAGGCCCAGGGCCAAGAAATGGGAGATTCTTGAGGGGCTAGTGGAAAGGAGTGTTAAGGTTTAGCTACAGACAAGATGGAGAGGGACCACCGAAGAGGTGTTGAGCTGAAGGTCTTGAACCCCATGGAGGGCCCCATTGGTTTTTTTTTTAACTGCAAGTATAGGGATGTTAACGGGGTGGGGCAGGGAAATATGGGGTGAAGTAGCTTTTTTCTTAGGAGGTCTGAGATGATAGGCTTAAGTCCGCTGAGGCTCTGGATAGAGGGTGGGTTCTGGGCTTGGGTGATGTTCCATGTAGGGTCCTGTAGTTGGATAATTGCAGGAGAATGGTGTTCGACAACAGAAGGGTCTTGGGTATCCCGGAATTGGGGGGGGGGGTCCACCTGGGAGGTTGGTAAAGGAAATAGAGTGTTGGAACCATAGTTTCGGTGGCCAGGTGCTCTTGAGGTCAGGCAAATGGGGGGAACAAAGGAAATAGAGGCTTTCCCTTTAACTAGAAGATCCCTTCCCAATGAGGTGAAATGTTAGAGCAGCCTGTCACTGGAGAGGGAGGAGACTGGAGGTTGTGGACCACCTCTGCCCCCCGCCAGGTGTGCTGCCTTAGTTTGGTGGATTCCGTCTGCACGTGATCTATCCTGTCCCCGAACCTGCCTGCGCTCCTCAGGACGTCAGTTGTTAGAATCATATATGTCGTCGTGGAAGGTGAGACTATAGGACCAGGTCATATATTGGAATTCTTTAAAGAAAGTAGAGGAGTTAGAGGCGTAAGGCCCCAGGTTTTCTCTATTTGAGAGAGTTCATTTAATGAAAAGGGGACACACACCTTGACTAGGCTGTCCACCCTGGCAATCTCCCGAAAATGGGAAAGAGAAGCTGTGTGAGTCTGGATCGAGAGAGGTGGAGGAGGTCCCACGGCAGAGTGGGGGTGGGTGCGAGGGACTGAAGATTGCTTGTGAGGTGAAAGGGGCTGCAGGGTGGGGTAGTTAGAGCAGCCTGTTGCTGGAGAGAGAGGAGAGGAGGTTGAAGGAGCCAAAGGAGAAGGAATTGTGGGTTGAGGCTGGTAAGAGACGGGGTCGTTAGCAGGATCAAGAGCAGTGGAGGAAAGGATACGATAGACTCTGACGAGCCCCTAGGGAAGGCCTCACCCTCCCTTGGGAGCAGAAAGGATATGTGATAGGTAGGGTTTTAGTTGGGGGTGGTGCGGGAGGACGAGAGAGAGAGAAGGGAACAGGGATTGACATGAAAAACAATTTTTGTTTTGTTTTGTTTTGTTTTTCGAGACAGGGTTTCTCTGTGGCTTTGGAGGCTGTCCTGGAACAAGCTCTTGTAGACCAGGCTGGACTTGAACTCACAGAGATCCGCCTGCCTCTGCCTCCCAAGTGCTGGGACTAAAGTCGTGCGCCACCAACGCCCAGCTTAACAATCTTGTTTCTAAGTCAAATAAAAAAATCTGCAAAAGAAGAAGAAGAAGAAGAAGAAGAAGAAGAAGAAGAAGAAGAAGAAGAAGAAGAAGAAGAAGAAGAAGGTGGTAAAATCCGGAAGATCAGGGGTTCAAGACCAGCCTGGACTGCATGATACTTGTTCCAAAAAGCCAAATAAATAATTTGTTTTGTAAGAGAGAGTGGGAGAGGGCTGGAGAGATGGCTCAGCGGTTAAGAACACTGACTGTTCTTTCAAAGGTCCTGAGTTCAATTCCCAGCAATCACATGGAGGCTCACAACCATCCGTTATGAGATCTGGTGCCCTCTTCTGGTGTGCAGACATACATGGAAGCAGAATGTTGTGTACATAATAAATAAATAAAATCTTTTAAAAAGAAGAGAGTGGGAGAATAGTCAGAATGCATTATATACTTGTGTGAAATTTTCAAAGAACAAAATTCATCAATAAAAATAAATGAGTAGTTTTGTTTAAAAAAAAAAGAGTAGTGGAGGTTTCCACTGGTTCCAACTTCATAGCTAGGAGCTGAGTTGGGGAACAACACAGGGAAGGCTTGGAGTGAAGATAAGAGAAAGCTTGAATTTCCCCAGTCGCTAGCAGTAGTTGCAGAGGTCCCTAATAATGTTGAGATTTAGGGTGCTGCTGGGCAGCCATTTGGATTGGTTATCTGAGGGATGTTGATGCCAGATTCAACTGCAAAGGAGAATAAGCCAGGTGCTATGTGGAGAGGTCGGAAGTTCTCTAAGAGGCATCCCAAGGGAGCCAGAAGGCATGGATGACACCTCCCATGGATGAGGAAGAGAAGACGGTCCTAAACCTGAAGTCCAGGGTATCCTCAGGGCTCACCAAGGACTAAATGGGAAGATACAAGCCATTCAGTGGGTTGTATCACACTCAACAGGCATCTGGGCTAAAAGCCTGAGGAGACTCATGGCTGGTACAAGGGCTTTTGAGTGAAGCCAAAAGGCAAAACCGTGCTAAAAAGTGAAGGCTTGCTGAGCAGCGGTGGCACACACCTGTAATCCCAGCACTGGGGAGGCAGAGGCAGGAGGATCTCTGTGAGTTTGAGGCCAGCCTGGTCTACAGAGTGAATTCTAGGACAGCCAGAGCTGTTAGAGACACCTTGTCTTGAAAAACAAAAACAAAGCAAACAAAAAGTGAAGCCTCACCAAGGGTAAGAGTCAAAAGTGGGGTTAATGAAGAGGGTCAACCGTAGCCTTAAGGACCGTTGATAGGGATAACTCCACCTCAAAGAATACAAGGGAATGCCAGATGCTGGACGGTCACTCCCTTGGATTTAGGAAACTGTTTACACAGACCAAAGGGTAAGCTTACCAAGTGCCCATGGTAGATGGGGAATCCAGCACTGGAGAGCCGGAAGGTGAGTCTGTTGCTGGTGGGCTGGAGATAAGAGATAGGGTCCCAGTGCAGCTTAGACCCCAAAGGGAGTGCAGGCACCAGGATATCCTATGAGTCACAACATCAGTTTGTTCTTGTGTGGATCAGTGAGCCACATAATGTCTCAAAATCACACAGTGCAACAGACCTCACACAAGAGATGCACTGAGGGTGGAGGGGTATACAAAAGGCCCCTCTGAGCAGAGATGGACAAGCAGCCAACTGAGAAGGTGCAGGCTGTGTAAAGAGCCTGGTGCAGGAGCATAAGGAGAATACTTGACTCCAGGCAACAGTGGATGTGCTGAATTTGGCAGCTGGTGATAACATGGCCACTGCTGCTGACTCATGGAGGACAGGCTGCAGGAGCACCTGGTTCAGGAATGACAGTAGTTCTCAGTTTGCCAACATTGCCTTCAATATTTTCCCTGCCTTTTAATTCTTGAACTGGCAAGGGAAATGAACCTTTTGAGACCCCGAGATTGCATCAGTCTCACTAAATTGCTCTGGTCAACCTTGAATTTACTTTGTAGTCCAGGTTGGCCTCAAACTTTTAATTCCGAGCCCAGTGGTGGTGGAGCATACGTTTAATCCCAGTACTCGGGAGGCAAAGACAGGTGGATCCTGTGAGTTCAAGGCCAGCCTGGTCCACAAAGCTACACAGAGAAACCCTGTCTCAAAAAAAAAAAAAAAAAAAAGTGTTTGCCATACCACCATGCCAGGGTTGCCTCCAGCACTTTTGATGGTTTCTTGTCTACATAATACATTGTAAGTTTGTTCCAGGACAGCCAGGACTGTTACACAGAGAGACCCTGCCTTGAAAAATGAAATCAAACAAAAACAAACAGAGCCCACCCGTGACAACTCACAAAAACTGGAAACCTGCATACCTACAGGCAGCTCAACAGGTTGCAGGGTTCTTTCTGCGTGGTACCACTAGTCTGAGCCAGCAATAGACCAGTGACTAAGATAGGGATCCCACTAGCTCTCTATGGGCCATAAGTCTTCACCTAGTAAACATTTTTATATCACAAGCCCCACTCAGTCCTAGAACTTGACAGCCTGGGACTGCACAATCATCTCCTCTTTCCATTTTCTTTGTGTGAATTCTTTTAAAACTGGCCAGTCCCAAAACTATGAGGCCAGATCCAGCCAATGGTGAAAAGTCACCATCACCATTGACTTAGAATAAAAACCAAGAGAACTTAAGTGCTAGACTGTGATTGCTAGCTCGGTTTGGGTTCTGGCCTTGAACTCAGAGATCCGCCTGCCTCTGCCTCCCAAATGCTGGGATTAAAGGCATGTGCCACCAACGCCTGGATTTTTTTTTATTTTTTAAGATAGGATTTCTCTGTGTAACAGTCCTGGCCATTCTAGAACTCGCTCTGTATACCAGGCTGGCCTCAATCTCAGAGATCTGCCTGCCTCTGTGCATATGGTTTTTTACAAGAAGAAATTGACTTACCAAGCTACGTTTACTCTATGTGTGTGTTTCTTTGTGGGACACCTTGATTATTCTTTTAACTGGTGCTACAGTTCTCTGATGCTCGATGGGTATTAAGGGCCAAAAACAGTGTACAAATCAGGAAACCCAAATTAAGCCTCAGTCCTGCTACTCCGGGAAATCTACTGTCTTTCTCAGCCACTTGCTCCCGAGGGCCTTGGACCCACACTCTTATCCTCTTGCCTCTCCTTAAAGGCAAAAGATGCATGCAAAGTGCCTTATGCAAAACCAGGAAACTACTGTCCTTTCTAGAAACGTCTCCAGTTGCAGGTGAGCTCCACGGTAATGTGCTTGTGTAGCTCACTGGAGACCCTGATCTTGATCCCCAGTACTGCACACACACGAATCAAACTTGATAAAGGAAACTCCAGTTCCAACCAGTTTTCTTGACTGAAGTTTACTGCTGTTTATGTCATGTGGTGGTTTGAAAGAAAATGTGACCCTCCCCACAAAGGGAGTGGCACTATTGGGAGGTGTGGCCTTGCTGGAGGAGGTGTGTCATGGTGGAGGTAGGCTTTGAGGTCTCAGATACGCTCAAGCCACGCCCAGTGAGACCACCCACTTCATGTTGCCTGTGAGTCAAAACATAAGACCTCTCAGCTCCTGCTCCAGGACCATGTCTGCCCACATGCACCATGTCATACCATGGTGATGATGGGCTAAACCTTTAAACTATAAACCACCACAATTAAATGTTTTCCCTTAAAAGAGCTGCCATGGTCATGATGTCTCTTCACAGCAATAGAAAGGCTGAGACATGTAATATGAAAATCTTTCCTTTTTGACACAACCGCTCATTGGTAGCCCCAGGTTGGCCTTGAACTCATGGCCAAATGAGACCTTGTACCCATTAGCAGGCACTGCTGCCCCATCCTCTGAGAAGCACTGTTAGTTCTGATGGCCTATTCCGAATGTTGTATATAAAAGAAATAATACAATATGTAGCCTTCCATGGCTGACTTTTCCTCTCCTTTAGCGTGTTTTTCTCCAGTTTACTCATGTTATTACATGTATAATTGTGACATGTGTCTGTCTGTACACATGCATTCAGCACAAGGTCAAGGTTGACTGTCTCTTAGATTTCTTTCCCTTATTTTCTTAACCTGGGTCTGACACTGGAGCTCACCGATTTGCTAGAGTAGCTATCCAATGAGCTCCAGTGTCCAGTGTCCAGTGTCCAATGAGCTCCAGCTGGAGCTCCTGTCTCCAGCTCCCTAGCACTGGTCTTAGACTTGCACAATGACACCTAGCTTTCATGTGGGCGCTAGGGATCTGAAATTAAGGTCACTTTTATTTTGTTTTTGTTTTTTCAAACAGCGTTTCTCTGTGTAACCCTGGCTGTCCTGGAATTTGCTCTGTAGACCAGGCTGGCCTCAAACTCAGAGATCTGCCTGTCTCTGCCTCCTGAGTGCTGGGGTTAAAGATGTGCACCCCCACTGCTGGCCTGAACTTTGTCTTTATGTCCAGTAAGCACTTCACCAGCTGTGCCACCTTCCTGGTCCCTGTTATGCACACCACTGTATTTTTTGGTGGGTTTTTGTTTTTTTTTTTTTTTTTTTTTTTTTGGATGGGTGTTTTTTTTTTTTTTTGGGTTTTTTTTTTTTTTTTTTTTTTTTTGGTTTTTTGAGACAGGGTTTCTCTGTAGCTTTGGAGCTTATCCTAGAACTTGCTCTGCAGACCAGGCTGGTCTTGAACTCACAGAGATCCACCTTCATCTGCCTCCCAAGTGCTGGGATTAAAGGCATGAGCCACCACCGCTCGACTACTTCATTCTCTTTTTTTACTAGATAATAATTCCTGTGTGCAGGAGTATTCTGTCTACTGTTCACCTGTCCCTGGACATTCAAACAATCTCTTTCTCCTAGTGACTGAACAGTGCTGCTGCGAACACTGACACGAGCATTTGCTTGAAGACTTGTTATTGATTCTGTGGGATATAGACCTAGGGGTGGAATGGCTAGTTTTTTGTTTTTGAGAAAGTCTCATGCATCCCAGGTTGGCCTTGAACTCACTATGTAGCTGAGGATGACCTTCAGCTTATGCTCAATTCACTCAGTACTGAGGACAGAGCTCAGGGCTTCATTGTTGCCAGCCGTAGGTGTAAGTTTCTATCCCACCAGCAGTCCCAAATAAACACAGAGGCTTAATATTAATTATAAATTTGTAGCCAGTAGCTCAGGCTCGTTACTAGCTATCTCTTACATTTATGTTAACCCATACTTTTTTTTATTTGAATTACAAACAAGATTGAATTACATGACAATCCCAGTTCCCTTCTCCCTCCCTTCCTCCCCTACCACCCCCCAACTAACACCCTACCTCTCACACACCCTTTCTTCCATTCTTCCCCTGACTCAGCCTTTCTGCTCCCTCATGACCTCTGCATCCTCCTCTTCTTCCCTTCTCATCCTCGTAGCTCCCTCCCCCTCTTCCCATGTTCTCAATTTGCTCAGGGGACCACACAGAGACTCTCTTAGGGTCCTCCTTGTTTACTAGCTTCTCTGGCAGTGTGGATTGTAGGCTGGTAATCCTTTATGTCTAAAATCCACATATGAGTGAGTACATATCATGTTTGTCTTTTTGTGATTGTAACCCATACTTTTTTTTTTTTTTAAGAATGAGGGGCATTATTCTATTTGGTACTCGGTAACTGAATGGAGGTGGGTGCTAGCACTGCCCCCTCCTCGATGTGGTGAACAAGTTAAGGGGCTTAAAATCTAAGTTCCAGGTTCAATTCCAGAATGACTTCGGGGTCCTGGCAGCAGGCCCTGTCAGTGGGTATGAAGGGACATATGGGGGGGGCAGCTTCTTGACCAAGTAAGGACTGACTGAAGGTAAGCTTTTCCAGGCCAGTTCTAGGAACCCATACTGGGCAATACCCACAGGTTGGACAGTATCCACATTGTTCCGCCTGGAGAGGAGTATCACATCCCAGAACTTCAAGGAACCTGCCAGGGCGTGGGAGCCACTGAAAAACAGATGGCAGAACAGCCGCTCCCTGGGCACTAGCTCCATGGCCTTCAGAGACTCTTTGGAGACGAACTCTTGGAATTGAGGTTCTTTTGTCAGTAGCAGGTCCTGCAGCAGCCTCTGGACTCGGGGGGGATTTAAGCCGGTAGCAGTCCATGAGCTGGTAAAGTAACCCATACTCCTTATCTATACTTTACCGTGTGGTTTGGTACCTTTTCTCAGTATGGCATGCTCATCTTGCTTCTCTCTGGTCTGCTGATGACTTCAGACTCCGCCCTTCTCCTTCCCAGCATTTTCTTTATTAAACCAGTCACAGTGCCATATATTCACACAATGTAAAGGAATATTCCATAGCCCGCAACCATTCCATTAACTGAGCCATATCTGAAGCCCTCAAGTTTATTTTTGTGTCTGAGGCCATCTCTATGTTTGATGAGGTTATGTGACTTTAATAATAATTGTAGTGACATTATATTTGAGAGTTCTCATGAGTCTGCTTGGTGTGACCAGAGTATAAGTGAAACTGCATAGCTGTGTGATTGTCTCATCAACAGCCATTGTCATTATGAGTTCTGTCTGCAGGCTCACTTGGACTGTATCACAAATTGATGGCAAAACCAACATAACAACCATTTACCTAACACCCACAGTATGCTGAGCATTGTAATTAATCTGCAGATGACTTCAAGTGTATGGCAAAGCAGAATGTAGTGGCACTTACCTATGTAATCGGACAGGCAGGAGGCTCAGACAGGATCACAAGTTCTAGGCCAGCCTGGCTACACAGTGAGCTTGTTATGTGAACTTTTCCTGAGAAGTGAACAAGTACTCACTCACCCCCAATAGCAGAGTTCCCTCCCACTGTGAAGGAATGTCCCAAGGTCCAAGCTTGAGGATAACAGATGTTGTGCACCAAGTATCGTGTGCTACAACAGAGACGTAGGACACGAGGCCTGTCTCAACCATAATAACAATAAATCATATAAATGGATGTGCGTAGACTCAGTGCACATGGGTTTGTTTTTATTTATTTTATTATTATTACTGGTTTTTCAAGACAGGGTTTCTCTGTGTAGCCTTGGCTGTTCTGGAACTCGCTCTGTAGACCAGGCTGGCCTCGAATTCACAGAGATCCGCCTGCCTCTGTCTATCAAGTGCTGGGATTAAAGGCGTGCGCCACATGTCTGGCTAGATGGATTTGTTGTCCCCTGTGGATACCAAGCAATGATGGTGTATGTGTGACCATATGGTATAAGTGACACTCCATTTCCCTACACTGACTCACATGGCACCAGAATGGAGGTATGGGAATTGCAGGCCCTCTACCATGGGGGCCACAAACCAAGCAGCAGCAGGGCCCAGTCAGGACTGAGGTCCCTTGAATGGCATACTGGCTATGGCTCCAGTCAGGACTGAGGTCCCTTGAATGGCATACTGGCTATGGCTCCATCTAAACCTCCTCACTGCAGGGTTTATAGCCATTCCCTTCAGCTTCTGTGAGTATCCAGTGAGGGTCCTCAGTGTCCAGAGGTGGGCTCATTTGAGGGGCTCCCTCTTGCTAAATGGCTCAGACCCCAACACAACTCAGGCAATTCAAAACCAAGATAATTTGTGGCCCCAACCCCCAGCCTTTCTGCTCAAGGAGGGATAGAGCCATGGCTGTTCTGGGCCCCTTACCTGATAGCAGCCTAAAACATCTGGTTTGTCTGATAATGCCTGAAAGAGAGCTGGTGCCAAGTCCCGCCACTAGCACCGTTGGTACTGTTGGTTGGGGAGGGTAAAGGGGTGCAGTTCCCCAGATGAGGCTCAAAGGGTCCAGAAGACCTTTCCCAAGAAATGTATGCTTCTGGTCCACCCCTTCTCCAAGAAGAAAGACTTGAGACCAGACCAGGGAGGCCTCTCAGTTCCCTGAAGGAGGGGGGTGGGTGAGTGGGAATCAGGCCCTACTGTTCACCTGAACCCCAAAACTATGGAGCCCCTACCCTTGACTTCTGGCTTAATTTACATACAGGTTTGGTTTTCAGGGACCAGTTCCCAAACAGGCTAAGGTAAGGTCTGTTCCCTTGAAAAGTCTCTCTCTCTCTCTCTCTCTCTCTCTCTCTCTCTCTCTCTCTCTCTCTCTCACACACACACACACACACACACACACACACACACACACACACGCCTTGCCTGAGTCTTATCAGACAAGACAGCCAATCAGAGGAGGGTAGACAGGCGTCCTCCAAGGAGACCTCCAAGCCTCATAGCCCATGAGGCAGAAGAGGGAGAAGAGGCCTGGGGCCCAGGGTGCACACCAGCCAGCCATGGCAGCAGCTGAGACTGTCTTGCCCTCCATCAGTACCCTCACCACCCTGGGCCAGTTCCTGGACACCCAGGAAGACTTCCTCAAGGTGGGGGCCAGTGGGGCTCGGGTAGTCTTGCTGTGACCTCGCATATAGCGATTGGGGGTCGGGCTTCTAAGCATCCTCTGCTCAGGGTTTTTTTTTGGGGGGGGTCTGAGCCTGGCTTGGGGTACTGTTCTAGGGGTCTGAGATCGAGGTGCCTGTTTCTGTTATAGGAAGCTGAATTCTGAGCGCAATACCTTAACAGTGTAGACTCAGAGAGACAAAGTCCTGGATAGATGAGTCCTGGGATGTTCAGGCTTTGAGATGTAATATTGTTGGGAGATGTGAAAAGGTAGGGAAGGTGTGGGGGAAACGGAGTCAAAGCTGCCCCTTGCCTTCCATTCTGAACTCTGCGACCCTTTCCCCCATCTGAACACTGTTCTTGGTAAGTGTCTTATCGGTCTCTAACCAGACCTAAAGGGCTTGTCTGGAGCTGAGAAGTGGGTTAGGGGAACAGTGTGAGAGAAGAGATAGGCGCTCAGATCCCTCAACCAACCTGCCCCAACGGTGTTTCCAGCCGGGACTGCGTCAGGGGCAGGTACCAGGTGCCCACCATTCAAGCAGTGCGCTCCCTCCCGCAGTGGTGGCGCTCCGACGAGACACAGGATTTGGGCCCGGGTCCCCCTGATCTTCCGGGGTCATCCCTTCACGTGAGTCTGAAATCGCAGGCCCCTCCCGGAGAGGACGAGGACGATGAGAGGGACGTGGCCTATGCCTGGGATCCGGATCCTTACCTTACCAACTTCCCAGGTCCCGAGCCCCGGACCTGTGCTCTGGCGCCCAGCGGGGGCCCGGTGGCACAGTACGCGCCGCCCGAGGCTCTGGGCGCCTATGAAGGTGGCCCAGGGTTGGTGGCCGGGCCTTTGGGCTCCGAGGAGCACGCGGGCTGGGCGCACTCCGCCCCGCGAGCCCCAGCCCCTGAGCCCTTCGTGGCCCCGGCTCTGGCCCCGGGATCCGCGCCCAAGGCGCAGCCAACATTCTCCGATTCGCGAGCGGGCTCGGCCAGCGGTTTCTTCCCGCGGGCCGGGCTCGCGGTGCCCGCGGCTCCCAGCGCCCCCTATGGGCTGGTGTCGGGGTACCCCGCGCTCTACCCCGCGCCACAGTACCAAGGGCATTTTCAGCTCTTTCGCGGGCTGGCGGCGCCTTCCGCTGGCCCCGCCGCGCCCCCTTCCTTCCTGAATCGTCGGGGACCCGGTGCGGTGGGCACAGAAGTCGGGGCCACCGCGCTCGCGGGAGACACAGGCTTGTCCCCGGCAGCTGCGCCGCCCAAGCGCAGCGGGAGGGCTTTGGCCCCAAAGAGGCAAGCGGCACACACCTGCGCGCACGAGGGCTGCGGGAAGAGCTACACCAAGAGCTCGCATCTGAAGGCGCATCTGCGCACGCACACAGGTAAGGGCGGAGCGAAGCGCATGGGGGCGGGCCCGGGGGCCGGAAGCGGAGCGGAGGGAGGGGCCAGAGGGTGGTCAGAGGCGTGGCTAAAGGCGGCTCCAGAGCTAGAGGCCTGAAGCGGGCGGGTCACTGGGTAAAGTATAGGGGCAATTCTAGACCCAAGTGGGGCCCGGCGAATCCCAGCACTCGGGAGGCAGAGGCAGGTGGGTATAAATGACTTCTAGACTAATCTGGTCTATTCATAGCGAATTCCAGCAGTCAGGGCTACATAGTAATATCCCATCTCAAAAATGATAAATAGGGCTGGAGAGATGGCTCAAGAGGTTAAGAGCACTGACTGTTCTTCCAGAGGTCCTGAGTTCAATTCCCAGCAACCACATGGTGGCTCACAACCATCTGTAATGAGATATGGTGCCCTCTTCTGGCATGGAGGCAGAATGTTGTATACATAATAAATCTTAAAATTTTTTTGATTGTTTAAAAAGAATAATAAATAAATAAATAAATAGTTAAATGGGTGTAGACAGAAGACCTGGAGAGCACTTTGGGGGCTTCAGGGTTAAAAGCTGGTGTATAGGACCTGGGTTAGAGATGGGCAGAGGAGTGGGAAACAGGATGAAAGTAGCATAAGGGGAAGAACTAGAGAGGCGACCCCAGGGAGGGTACAAGCTTGGAATGCAAGAGCTCAGGGATAGAGCCAGTATTCACGTGCATATATTCCCGTTGGATGTGTCTGAGATCTGGAGGCAGAATTAGTTTCACGGGCAAATGATGGAAGCCCCAGACGCAAGGTGGGGCCTCCCAAGTGCGGCACGCACCAGGTATAGAACCAGGAGAGGGTCATCAGGGACTTGGACACTGGGGTGAACTTCAGGGCTTAGGCCAAGTTCAAGAGCAAGACTGGACGCCAGCGGGAGGCTCTGCCAGTGCATGGAACACTGAGAGCAAGGGATGACCGTGCAGCCACAGAAGGTCTCAGGCAGGGAACTAGAGCATAGGAAGTGGGATAGGAGACAGGAAATGAGAAAACCTCAGGATTGCAACTGCAGGTACAGAGAAGGGTCAGGATCACAGAGGGCAGGACTGTATGCCCTTCTTAAACTGTGCAAGCTAGATAAGTAACCTAAGGCCTGGCTTCAGCTCATCAAGTGTGCAAATCGGAGCTGGACGGTTTGGACGGTGGTACTCACAAATTCCTGTCCTTCAGGAGAAAAGCCTTATGCCTGCTCCTGGGATGGCTGCGAATGGAGGTTCGCTCGCTCTGATGAACTGACACGCCACTACAGGAAGCACACTGGCCATCGACCCTTCTGCTGCAGACTCTGCCCACGTGCTTTTGCACGCTCTGACCACTTAGCCTTGCACATGAAGCGCCACCTCTGAACTCCGATCTTGCACAGGGACTGTGAATGAATCGTCTTCCAAAGGATGGGCCATTATTGAACTTAGAGCTCTACAGACCTACCCAGATCAAGAACTTACCTGTGGACAACGCAAAGGAACCTTCAATAGAATCTTCTCATATCTTCAGGCAGCCACACAGAAACATTTGATGGCCCCACAGACCCAGCAAGACAGACCACCAAATAAATCAACTCAGATGGACCCTTAGACCAGTTCAGGAGTGACTCTGAGTGGGGTGAGATTTCTCAGAGTCTAGAAGGAGCCCTCACACTGTCTATCAGCTGGGATTGTCATGGTTACTATAAAATTCTCCCATATAAAACCGTTGTTGGCCTCACTGTAATATGGAGCTGGAAATCAGGAGGAGTATTGAGCTCCAGTAGGTGACACACTTATCTGTAAACACACTCACCTACTAGATCTCCTAAAACACAGTCACTTCTGATGACCTGCCCCCAGCAGTACAATCTATGTAGCTCTTCTCCATCAAGATTAGCCTGTATAATCCTGTCACCTGTTGTCAACCCAGGGGCATTCACAACTGTCATTTGCCTTCCCCAGGGGGCATCAAACTCACAGAAATTCTGTCATCCTGCCTCTGACTCCTGAGTGTGGTTATCATGCCCAGCCTGTCTACTTCCTTTTAAGAAGCCTCAGCCCAAGTGGGCCATAGAGGTAGCTCCAGCCTGTGATCCCAGCTATTTGAGAGGCTGAGCTGAGGCAGGAGTATTGCAAATTCGGGACATGCCCACAGTACAGAACAAACTCAAGGTTATCTTGGGTGTGCAGTTTAGCCAGTTTCTCCAACTCTCTCTCTCCTTCTCTCTCTCTCTCTCTCTCTCTCTCTCTCTCTCTCTCTCTCTCTCTCTCTCTGTGTGTGTGTGTGTGTGTGTGTGTGTGTGTGTGTGTTTGTCTTTCTGAGAAAGGGTTTCTCTGTATAGCCCTGGCTGTCCTGGAACTTGCTCTGTAGACCAGGCTGGCCTCCAGCTCTGAGATCCACCTGTCACTGCCTCCTCAGTGTTTGGTTTTTGCTTGTTTGTTTGTTTTTTGTCTTCCTGTCTCAAAAAGTAAAAAGAAAAACAAAAGACTTGCCATGGTGGTATGTGACCTTAATCCCAGTACTTGAGAGGTAGAGCTGGGTGAATCTCTGAGTTTGAGGCCAGCCTGAGCTACATAACATAGAGGCTCTGTCTTTAAAACGGGGCAAGTATGGTGGTATAGGCCTTCAGTCTCAGGATTCAGGAGGCAGGCGGATTTCTTCAGTTAGAGGACCGCCTGGTCTACTTAGGGAGTTCCAGACCAGCTAGAGCTATGGTGCTACAGGCCTTTAATCCCAAAATTTGGGAGATAGAAGCAGGAGGATCAAGTGTCAAGGCCTAAGTGACAGAGTCAATCTGTGGCAGAGTGCTTAGCAACCCCTGTATTCCCGCCTTGCCACAACCTAAAGTGACTCCCAGGTCAGTGACAAGAGGGCAGGGTGGCTAGAAAATTTGCAGAACATTCAGAAGGAGGGTGCAGAAAGAACTATGCCTACGCAAACAACAGTGACGCAGCTGGGAGTGGTGGCCCATTCTCACTGGGAGGATGGGAAGTTAGAGGTTCGCTTGGGCCAGAGTGAAAACCTGTCAAAAAACAAAAGCACAGGGCCACAGGTGGTGGTGGTGGCATGGTGGCTGGAGAGATGGCACAGTGGTTACAAACACCTACTGTTCTTCCAGAGGCCCTGACTTCAGGTCCCATAACCCAAATAGTGCTCGCAACTACCTGTAACTCCAGCTCCAGGGATCTAACAGCTATGGGCATCTGCCCAGCCTGCACATGGTATACATAAACTCACAAAAGCACACACACACAGAGATGCACATAAAATTTTAAAAGCTGGAAGGATAGAACATATTTATAATGCCAGCACTCAGTCAGAGTTGAAAGTTCCAGGCCAGCCTGAGCTACAATGACACCATGCCTCAAAAAAAGAAGGCCCGATAAGATGACTCAGCCTATGAAAGTGCCTGCTATTAAGCTTGATCGCCAAATCCCACGTAGTGGAAGGGGAAACTCCCACAAAGTGCCCTGGACTCCACTTGCATGCTGCTGTGTTATGTGCCCACACACTTACACATACATACTACGTGGTGGAGCACTTCTGTGAGGAGAACACTTGGGCGGTAGAGGCAGGAAGATCAGGAGTTCAAGGTTAAACCACAGTGTTAAGAGGTCAGAAAAAGAATCAGGAAACTGTCAGAAAAAAGAAGAAAAAAAAAAACAGGGGTGATTGGTGCGAGTCTTTATTTTTTTTTAACTTTTATTTGTTTATTTATTTATTATGTACACAGTGTTCTGCCTACATGTATGCCTGCACACCAGAAGAGGGCACCAGATCTTATTATAGGTGGTTGTGAGCCACCATGTGGTTGCTGGGAATTGAACTCAGGACCTCTGGAAGAGCAGCCCGTGCTCTTAACCTCTGAGCCTTCTCTCCAGCCCTGGTGTGAGTCTTTAAATCAAACTTTCCGGGAGGAGAGGCAGAAGGGAGGCAGAGATCCCTGTGAGTTCCAGGCCAGCCAGGGCTACATAGTGAGATCCTGTCTTAAACAAAATATAAATAAAAGAGAGAGAGAGAGAAAGGAAGAGAATTGGGTCTTCCCTGACACGCAATGATGCTCAGACAGACATACATGCTCCTTAGAAGAATCATATGGCAGCTAATGCCTAAAGGAGGGGCGTGACCACGGGTGGAGCCTCTCCGGAGCTGAGTCGCCAGAAGCAGGAGGGGGGGGGGGGCCCTGAAGGGGGCGGGGTCCGTGGGAGGAAGCCCCGCCCCCGCGCTCCGGGGCTCTCGGGCGTCGCCGTCACCCTCGCGAAGCCCCCACCCAGGTCTCAGCGGACTTTAGGGAGAAGTGAGTCTGGACCTCGTGACCCGGCCGTCCTGGGTGTTTGCTCAGATTCCGCTCGGCCGCCTCATGGCAGCGCTGAGCTCGCTGCTGCTGGCCGCGCTGCTGTGGGCCCCTGCCGAGGCCCTGAGCTGCTATGGAGACTCCGGGCAGCCTGTGGACTGGTGAGCGAGCCAGTGGCTGACGGACTGTTCCGGCGCGGGCACCGAGGTGGCGCTTTTCGTCCAAACCTCAGATCCCTTTTCTCTCTCCTCCTCCTGTCTTCCCTGACCTCCAGGTTCGTGGTATACAAGCTGCCAGCTCACAGCGGGTCTGGAGATAGTTCGGGGAAGGGTTTGAAGTATAAATACATGGACCAGAGCTCCGAGGGTTGGCGCGACGGCGTGGGGTACATCAACAGCTCAGAGGGAGCCGTGGGCCGCAGCCTGCTGCCGTTGTACCGGGACAACTCCAGCCAGGTGACTGAGTGCAGTGGGAACCTGGGCTGGGTCACCGTGGTGGGCCCCACCGGGAAGGGAGGATAGTTATGAGCCTCTCTGCATTCTCCCAGCTGGCCTTCCTACTCTACAACGACCAGCCTCCTAAATCCAGCTCAGCTCCGGACTCTTCCAGCCGTGGGCATACAAAGGGTGAGGCTTGGACTGGTGGTCGTGGAGCCACCCTGAATTTCTTGTAAATTTACCCAGACTAACCTTTGACACGCATGAGGGGTGGAGTTTCTGCCCTGTCAAACCCTTGCCTCGGTTTCCTGCCTGTACCTGTCTAAGACTCCAGCCATACGAGACCGTGTACCTGGTTGCAGATGAGCTGACTTGCGGGGCCTGCTTCCAGCACCTTCTCTGACCTCCTTCTTCTGGTTCAGGTGTTCTGCTCCTGGACCAAGAAGGGGGTTTCTGGCTGATCCACAGTGTGCCACGCTTCCCACCGCCTGTGTCCTCTGGTGCATACAGCTGGCCTCCTAATGCTCACACCTATGGGCAGACCCTACTCTGCGTGTCCTTTCCCTTCGCCCAGTTTCTCAAGATTGGTGAGTAGAATCTTGGAGGTGTGACAGTCGCAAACTGCCTGAAGTAACCAGCCTCACTTTTCCTCACCTTGTCTTCCAGGCAGGCAGCTAACCTATACCTATCCCCTGGTCTATGACTACAAGCTGGAAGGCATTTTTGCCCAGAAATTACCTGACCTACAAGAGGTGATCAAGGGTCACCATGCCCTCCATGAGCCCTGGAATAGTAGTGTAATACTCACTTCACAAGCTGGGGCCACCTTCCAGAGCTTTGCCAAATTTGGAAAATATGGAGATGGTGAGTCCTGGTGTAGAGGGGTAAAGAGCACTTTCTTTGTGTGTGTGGCGGGGGGGGGGGTGAGGTCCCTGATATCTCCAAGCCTGAGGGCAAGCCACATTTAGAGCCAGGTGTCTTTGGGAGTCATGTTATAGTAACAGCCACCAGTAGGAAACCAACGGGCCAGCTGGGCAGATGGTACTTATCTGTAATCCTAGCACTATGGAGGCTGAGATAGGAGTTCAAGATCTGCCAACAGACCTAGGTTCAAATATTGGTTTCTGGATGTGCAATATATGATATGGCCTGAGTCTGTCTGCTCATCTGAAAAATTAAAATATTGATGCTTGTTTCCCTTAACTGACTATGAAATAACATAAATTGTTTGGTAAGGCCTACTTTTTTTTGTTTTGTTTTGTTTTTGAGACAGAGTCTCAACTGTGTATCCATAGCTGGTCTGGAACTCACAGAGATCCACCTGCCTCTACCTCCTGAGTGCTGACTATAAAGGCTTGGGCCACCATTCCCAGCCTATCTTTTTGTTTTCAAATAAGGTCTCACTGTACATTGCAGGCTAGACTCCATCTGAAATCCTCTTGTTCCAGCTTTCTGAGTGTTAGGATGGCAGATGTGACGTGACCTGTTGATGAGGGATATTTAGGCTCCTGGCATTCTGAAAATAGACAGATCCTGGAAGGAAACGGGCCTAAGGGATCTAACAGTGACCACCTTGTGCTTCTTTCTTCCTCTGCAGACCTGTACTCCGGCTGGTTGGCAGCAGTCCTTGACACCAACCTACAGGTCCAATTCTGGCCAAATTCTCCAGGCACCCTGCATTCCAACTGCTCTGGGACCCATCAGATTCTTAATGTGAATCAGATAGGCTTCCCTGGCCCATCTGGGCCAACTTTTAATGCCACAGAAGACCACTCCAAATGGTGTGTGGCCCCTCAAGGGCCCTGGGCCTGTGTGGGTGACATGAATCGGAACAAAGGAGAAATGCACCGAGGTGGGGGCACTCTGTGTACCCAGATGCCTTCCCTTTGGAAGGCCTTGCAGTCTCTGGTGAAGGCCTGGGAGCCCTGTAAAGAGCCCAGAGAGCAAAAAACTAAGACTGCGGGAATAGCTGTGCATGGTGGTGCACACCTTTAATCTCAGGCCCTTCCTAACTGGAGACCTTAGTAGTGCCTGGAACTCAGAGATCCAAGCCAGCCTGATCTACAAAGTGAGTTCCAGGGAGACCAGGGCTACACAGAGAATATGTGTATCAAACCTCCTCCACACACAAATAAAAGGGGGTTGGTGTTGTTGGGTTGAATCCCAGGGCTTACCACAAAGCACCATGCTGCTCTGGCTGTGAATTCAAGTACCAGTTCAGCCCCTCCCTAACTGGAGACCTTAGTAGTGCCTTAACCTCCTTGGCTGTCCAGTGATCTGCAGCACAACAGAGGCTGTTAATAAAAGGAACTCTGTACATGAGGCCGTTACCTTTTCCTTCAGACACTAACACACAGAGCAGTAGTGAGACACCTCTTCCTAAAAGGTCTGCCCCAAGCTGTTATGTAAGGGATGGCAGTGGAAGGGACGCAGAAAAGCTTGAATGAAAACTGCCTTCCCACTTGTACCGAGCACAGGAGCCATCCCTTGTCCTGAGAGGAAATGTGAACCTCGGAAATCTCAGGCAGCATGGGCACTTTATTTATATGTGTACATATGTATACAGGCATCTGTACAGCACAGGACCAAAGGCCTGCTCTGCTATGGGCCTAGGGGGGCGTGGCTGGGTGCCCCATTTTTGGTTAGGCCTGAGGAAGTCACAGCTTCAGCAGGACACCGGGAGTTCAACCCTGCTTCAGGTTTGGTGCCTGGGACCACAAGGGAAGCAGGTGGGACTGGAGGAACTGCACTGCGGGACACGTTCTTTGTTGGGACTACGGTTGGAGTCTGGGGGTCGGGAGAGAGCTTGGGAGAAGCTGGCTTGGAGCGAGGTCCGCTTAGTGTGGTCCGCTCTTCCACCTCCTCGAGCACCCAGCGCTCCCGGCCCCTTGGTGCATCAGGAACTAGAGGCACCTGGGCTACAGGTTCCTTCAATCCCTTGGAGTCTGTTCCTAGAGGTTGAGGTGTCTGGGTCTTGACCCCTGATCGGGCAGGCTCTACAACAATGGGCACCAGGGGTGTGCCTGCCTCACCAGAGCTACAGCGCCGGCCTGTCTCATGTTCCTGCACCGGGCTTAGCGCCGCCTTGGCCAAGGCCCTAGCCACTCCACCTGGGCCATCCTCAGTCTGCACGCTCTGGTGCCTGGTGCAGCCTGGGT